AAGATTGCGAAGTGAGAGAGAGAGAATACAAGAGAAAATAGTGATGTGCGCTACAGGTCATTACGTAACATTGCCTGTTAAGGAAAACACACGGCGCACAGGTGTAGCGCACACCTCCGGCGCACATCAGTCGAAATGCCTATACAGCTGATCAACATTTCACCCACAGACGTTCAAGATGGTGATTTCTCACCCTCACATGGTGACTTCTCACCCTCAAGATGGAAAGATACGACAAAAAAATAAGAGAAGCATTGTTTTCTCAAGATGCTTCGATGGTTTTCTAACATGTGCCCCGCAGTTCATCAGCTAACTTTGCCTGTTACGAAAACACGCGGAGCACACCTGCGGGGCACACCTCCGGAGCACATGCTTGTTTTCGTTCAAATAGATCAAGTTTTGCTCGATGTCGAAACCCTTAAGATGCTGCATGTTGAGGAGAAATTTGAAAGATTGCGAAGTGAGAGAGAGAGAATACAAGAGAAAATAGTGATGTGCGCTACAGGTCATTACGTAACATTGCCTGTTAAGGAAAACACACGGCGCACAGGTGTAGCGCACACCTCCGGCTGAACATGATCAACATTTCGTTCACGTATTCTCACTGAAAGTAGTTGGGCAGACGTAGTATGTGCTATTTGACTAGGGTTGGAGGACAATCGAAAGGTTGCGTGGTAATTGTCAGTGTTTTAATGAACTTTAAATTTGAAGAAGATGCAGTTATGAACAACTTTTATTGATGAAAGGAATTTTTTGTTGAGGAGGGGCTAATGATCTCTATCGTGATGGCATGAAAGAGGAAGTGTGAGAAGTGAAATGTCATAGTCTGCTAATGTTGATTTCATGTGGTATAATTTAGATATGAAATTCATCAGAATCACCGAGTCGTTCTTCATTTGTGGCCATAGATGAGTTACTTGATGTTTGATTTGTTTGTGAATCGGTGTTATGTTGCCCGCGTTGATAGAAATGTTCATTCGGACCTAGGTTTCACGTAGTTAATGACTGTTGTTATGAAAGTAGATACTATACTCATTATGTAAACAGTAGCTCTTCTCTTCCAATAGGCAGCTGTTTGTTGTTCTTCACAAGTTGTCGGTTCACGAGTAAGTGAACCACTATCTTCTGGATTTAGAAGCACAATAGCTGGTTGACGAACATTAATTTCTACTGTCCGGCGGTATTTATCCGTTGCCTATCAAGCACGTGGTTACGGAACATATGGGATAGATGGTAAAAAGTCGGATACAATCTTACATTTAGCTTGCCATTTTGTGTCAAAAGACCTTTCTTATTTGGATAATTTAATGTAGCAAATTTATCCCAAGGTATATCATCATAGACAGAATAACGAGCGTAATCGTGCCACGAATCCAAATTCCATCGTTCTTTGAAATAATTCACGTAACCAGGCAATGATAATGCAAACGAAGTTTTTCCTGTTCCAGATGGCCCGATTAAAATGAAACATTTAGCACGTTTTGTACGAGAAAAATGATGACATATCCAACGATTAACAACTTCTCTTAACTGTGATGTACATTGAGGAAATGAATTGGGCCAAGTATATTCCTTAGTAATGCGAGCAGTTTCACGATTATGTTGTTGTATTCGTCCGTGAATATAATTAAATGTTGATAAATACCATGAACTATATTGAAGAAATTTATCTGGCATCATTTCCCTAATATAATACATTGCTTGATGAACATTAGTTTCAGCTAATTTCATTGCTTGTCGAGCAATTTCTTTACTTTGTTGTCGTCGTTCCTCTGCTTGTGCTCGTACAGTTATGGGACGATTTTGTACCATTCGAATATTAGAAACGGTGGTATGCATTGGTACTGACGTTGTGGACAATGCTGGTGATAGTAAACGTTGTCTTTGATCAGTACTACGTAACCTTGTTGATTGAAATGAACCAAATTCAATATACTGACCACCTTTTTTAATATATGCATTCCATGCCACATCGTTATGTGTGACTTGATAATTACAATGTGTTTGTGTAATAGTATCAAGAAATGGCCGTCTTCGATTAATTTTTTCTTTAAAAATAATTTGTATGTGTAAATGTTGCTGCTGATTGACTTCACTTATTTCTTCGCTAATACAAATATATTGAATATTTTCCACACCAAATTCTGATTTGATATACTGCATTACTTCACCTTTGGAAACATTTGTCCATGATGTAATAGCAAACGATTTCGCATTGAATCGATTATTGGAATCGGTTGGTGTAGATTCCAGATTGAATTGAAATTCTTCAGCAATTGCTTCTCGATTCAAATGTCCATAGTAAATTGATGAAATATCATGTTCACTCTCACGTGAATCGTTATTATCATTATCATCAGTAGTTTGATTTAATTCTTCTATGACACGATCAGCAACCATGTCATCTGTAGGTTGATTTGTTTGAATGACTACTGATAAATTTTGCATATCTCGTTCTAGTTCTTGATCAAATATAGCTTCATTAAATAATTCTTGATTGTCAATTCTTTTGTCATAATCATCATCACCACCACTTGTTTCACTTAAGTCAGATATATCAAAACATTCCTTTTGATCATCTATCTCCTTGTTCATTACTTCAGTAAGAATACGTTGAAAAGTACTTGGACAAATGATGGAACCAGCTTGAAAATGATATTGCCCAGATTGAATGGATGAATCATCATCCTTATCCTCATCAAGATCAATATTATCGATATTGTAATGTGTTCGTACATTTTCATATGACAAGGCTAATTCATCTTCATTTTCACCTTGCTTTTGATCACGTAGGATATTCGACATTTTCTCACAGATATAAAATTCAATTAGAGAGTGATCTAAAATAAAAGGATGTTTTCAATAGAATATGATATTGTTGAGGCAACATTTAAAATTCGTTGGAATTCTTCATATTAATTTACTACAAGACACAATATCTTGATAGCATAAGACTCGATGATCTATCTGTGAGCTTATAATTATTGAGAAAAAAACAAAGACAACTTCCTATTGCATGTTTTTGTTCAAAATGCTATCAGTTTTATTTCATAATAGAAAAGAGTAACTTCAAAATGTTAAATAATAGAAATGAATGATATATGAAGAAAAGAAAAGCAACTTTAGAATGAAACGGTATGAAAAACATCATGAAATTTTTCTTTTTTAACTATCTGAAAATCTTAAAACTAGAAAGAAAAGGACAATGTCAACTGTTATGTTTGTTCTATTTATACTATTGATTAATTTTCATTGGTTAATTTTGTTAGCTAGTTCATATATATACTTGAATCCTTCAAGATAACTAAGAAAAATTCGATTCATTAGCTATGAAGAGAAAGAAAGAAACATAATCTAACTTTTTATGATTTAAAAGAAACAAATGATCAAGATGTTGTTCCATATGTCTCATAGCTGCCGTTACACTATGCTTAGCTAGAATTTTTGCTTGCTTAGATATCACATCTTCGTAATTTAGAACTCTACGGATTGGTTGTACTGTAGATATATATTCGCTTGTAGAGCTGTTACTATCATGTTCATTTGTTGCTATTGTAGTTGTAATAACACTAGCTGTATTAATTTCGTTAGAAACATCATTGTTAATGTCATCATTAACACTGTTGGTCTCATTACTATTATTGCTATTTTCAGTTTGACAAAGATTGTTAGCACAATTTAAATTAAAATTGACCGTATTGATACTGTTAATATTAATTTGACGAAGAGGATCTTTAATGAACTGACTTGTGTTACGACTGAATGATGATTTGAATCTACCGTATTCGATGTAATCATTTCCTAGAAGCGTATATATGCATTTTATCTTAGTATTATATTGCTGTATAATTCAATTATATATCGACTTTACCCCTTTTAATAAATTCATTCCATGCTCGATCTTTTATTGTTACGTGGTAATTACATTTCTTATCTCCTAGAATGTTTATATGTATGTTCAATTTACTTTACGAATTCATAATCTTTGAAAGTTATCTCTTTACCAGTAACTTTGTCTAGAAACCATACACATTTATTGATTTGTTTTGTCAACAAAATCTGTATATAAGTCTCATGCTTGGTGATATCTGTTTTCAAGTGTGTACCAATACAAACATAACGAAGTTTCTTCATGCTAAACTCCTTCTTAATAAAATTCATGAGATCGTTCTCTATAAGATTTTTAAAAAAAAATAGACGTTCAGAAATCGTATCATTATATCAAAGTATATTTTTACTTGACATTTCCGTATGACATAATATAGAAAATGTCTGTGTACGCATACGACAATTGCTTTCTTTACGTTTTTTGTTTGTTTGTTTGCCTTCGAGATCAAATTTGAATACATGAGCGATATCTTCTATGCCTATGATCAACAAACGACAACATTCGAATGAATCATTTTCTATATATCATTCTACTCATGTGACCATATTCACTATGTGGTCTATCATGTTCCGTGATTCTAGCATTCTTTGATATGTTTGATGTTGAAACTTCAGGTTGTGTGATATTTGAATCAATTGTATTTGTATGTGGTTGTGTTGTATCTGTGTTTTTTTTCGCAAAAGAAGGGCACTTTGAAGAGATTTCCACATACATAAAAGAATTTACCGGTTTCTTCAACATGTCTTGTCAGTAATGGTTGACTTGCAATGTCAGTATTCGATATACTATTAGCTACAAACAAAATTATTAATAACATAGTACAATTTCACTCATCTGATCAAGTTCAATTACTATGGTTTGTTACGGATTGATCTGTTTGGAGTAGGTCATCCAATATCAAATCAACTAAAGGATTTTCAACTTCTGAACTTAAATCAAGCAAGTTTATGTCGTCCAGTGTTTCATTATCAACACACTAGAAATGAAATAGAAAGGCGAGTTAGATTGAGACGACTTTGTAACACAAAACTACAATATTTTGACGTGAAATCGATGATATAGCATTATTTTGTTCATCCATGAGATAACTGTCTAATCTTTGCAAAGCGGATTCCATTGTCATTTCTACGCCATCAGTATTCGTATTTGATCTTAAGTTGAAAATAGCTATAAATACATATAAACGATTTTTGAAAATGATCATAGAGCATAAATCCCCAAACTGAACTTTCTACCTTCACTTCCTGTTGATACAACAAATGGATCATTATTATCAAACATATTAAAATCCATTTCAAATAACGATTCGATTGATGTCATTTGTTTATATACGATGTTATCAAGAATATAGTTTTGTAAAAAAAATCTAAATACAAGATATTAGTCCCTTTGCATCGATGAATTATTCAGATATTATTTCAATATACTTAATATTGTAAAGAAAGAAAAAACAGAGAATTTTTATAAATTATAAAAGTCACAAAAAAAACCATACTGTAAAGATGAAATGAAAAAGAATATCGATACACAATTTGTAAAAAAAATATAAACTACCCTAAAATTCCTTGTAGATGCTCTCTGCCAAAATATCGACGAGAAAAGACAATTCTCCATTATTGAAATTCAACTACAACATTTAAAATCTATTCATCAAGATATCCACAAGCATCATTCATAACATACTTAATATACATATTACAAAGCCACTCTTGTTTCGATGTTTTTGTTTTGCATCATACACTAGCATTTCTTTAAAGAATAAAAATTCTTGTTGGCAGTGTTGTCTTAACAAAAAAAATGTGATAGAATAATAGAATGCTAGTTCTTCACAAATCAATACATTACTCACTCAAACTCACATGCGTATTTACTTCCGTACACTTGAATGCTGGCAATAATCTCTTCATAAACCATTTTCCAATTGATTCATTTCAACTTATCTGCCTTATGTCTCAAAAAACAAAATTGACCGTAATTCCTCCTAGTCTAATTTACGCAAACTCTGTTCGGTGGTATAGCCACTACGAACAATTTTAAAAACTCATATGAAACACAGCTCACTCAAGATTCAAGTAATATTCAAGAACTATTCTCTACTATAACAAATCACTCAAACAACTCAATTCACGCACTTCACTGGCATTTGAAATCTCTCTCTCTCTCTCTCTCTCTCTCGATGTGAACGCCTTAAATAATAGAAGAGAAGGCCACCGCATAAAGACTGACCGTACAAATGTATTTTAGGTGTACAACCAGCTCTATGGTGGGAAGGAAAAGCTACCACTGGGCCACCCCTTCACCAACACATCGATATCTCTATCGATGCCAGTGACCAAGAAGAATTAAAGATTTTATTTGAGAAAAAAAAACAAACAAACAAAAGAATTCGGTTTTATTGATTCAATAGACAACATGGATGAAGAAATATCCAGTTGTTAATGTATCAATAAACATTTCCCTTAGCTAACGTCCTTTCTCTCACTACTAGACTACCAGAAAGAATATGTTTTAGATCAATTTAAATTATACTTACCTATATCGAACGAATCAAAGCCAAGCCGATCAGATAAGATACTAATTTGAACTGAAGACAAACATACTTAAACATAGAAAGAAAAAGAAAATAGATTAATAAATCAAATGAATACTTACTTAGAGCAATCCAGGAACAAATAAATAAATATATATATATATGATAGTAACAATATAAGAAGAATATCTGTAAATGTGAAAAGAAGCTATATAAATGAAATCTATAAAAGAAAACGGATCTATATATAGTATACTTTCTATGTCGTATCTCGTATGTCATTCTAATTCTAGAATATCTGCTATGTCGTAGATGCTATGCCTTAGCTGCTATGTCGTAGATGCTATGCCTTAGCTGCTATGTAGTAGATGCTATGCCTTAGCTGCTATGTCGTAGATGCTATGTCGTATCTGCTATGTCGTAACTGTTATGCCTTAGCTGCTATGTCGTAGATGCTATGTCGTAACTGCTATGCCTTAGCTGCTATGTCGTAGATGCTATGTCGTAGATGCTATGTCGTATCTGCTATGTCGTAACTGCTATGCTTTAGCTGCTATGTCGTAACTGTTATGCCTTAGCTGCTATGTCGTAGATGCTATGCCTCAGTTGTTATGCCTCAGCTGATATGTCGTATCGGATATGTCGTAGATGCTATGCCTCAGTTGTTATGCCTCAGCTGATATGTCGTATCGGAT